ATCGATGATTATTTTTAGGACTATGATGATCACTTACTGAGTAGCCAAACTCATCAAACTATGGTAAACATTTTTTCAAGATAACTACGGATTCATTTTGAGTGCTAGTCAAGATCAACCTTGGAAGATATTGTTGTTGTGCTAGCTTTCTTTTGTTACTTTGTAAGACCTCGCCACTGTAAATTTGTTCTATCAAGAGATGAATATATGTTTTGGATTGTCACATCTCAAGAATATCTGTATTGTAATTTCTTGTGGTGTGACAGGGCCACTCGAGCAACAACTACTACTGGTACTTTACAGGGACAAAGGTGATAGAGAAAGAGGCAAATTCAGAAGAAGATGCCAGTGATGATGGTGATGATTCTAATTCTGGATAATGATGATTGCAGAAATGAAGATGTCCTCTCTCCTTTTGTATTTCATCTTTATTACACCATCTTGCTTCGAACATTTGGATTTTGGATTTTGGAGTTTTTTCCTTTTTAGACTATTAGTTTTATACTTTCGTAAGTTTGTTAAAAGCTGAGTCTATGTGATTCTGGAATATGGGGAGTTGGAGACCACTACAATAATATACTATGGACCTTCTTACGTTTTTTTCACTAAATTTTCTACAATTTGGAGTTTTGAACATGTTTATTCTTAACATGCGAGATGTTTGTATGAAAAAAGTTAGTTACAATACATATAAATGCAAAAGATTACAAAATTAACACAAATATATGCATATATGTGCATTTGGACAACACCTATATACATATATCTGAAGGTTTTTCACTACACGGTGTCCGAGGTTCTAGGCACCGGCCTAGCCGCTCAGTTGTGCACAAATGCCAAAGGCTACAGGTTTTTAGACATCAACCTGAGTGACAGCCCTTCAAAACTTAGGTGAGTCACGGCATCAGCGATGCCTTATAGTCCACCCTAGACCATGCCAATCAGACAATCCGAACTACGCTCCCATTGGATCTATCACACCACTATAATCATAGTTGTACGTGCTCTCATAAGGTCTTTAAATGGCCACATAACACCAACATCTCCCACTTGGCCTTTGAAAGACTTACAAACTCTCCCTCACACACTCTCATCCCCCATTATAATCTTTCTCTCAAGCATACCTAACATGCCCTCTCCTATGCCTATTACATTACACATAACTTGGCAAACTCCTTCACCATCCATCCTTTTAGCAATCACTCTCCTAGGCCCACATCCACACTCAGGAAACCACACGGATCTCCTGGATTACAATCCATCCTTGGGCATCTCTCCGACCTCAACAAGGGATGACCCTCTGAAAATCCTTTTCGGTTGTGCTACATGCCCAGGGGTAAGGGTTTTAGATATGACTAGGGCCATAGACCCTTGGTCAATCAAAATACCACACACTCCCACTAAAGTGTATAATCCACTATAAATGTAAATGATATGGTCTCAAGCCCTTAAAGCCACAAACCCCAAGAAATAGCCAATACGTCCAACTCGGTGTACTCCTCTATCTGTAGAGTACACTGAATGTAAAGAAAAGGCCTTTGAATTCGATAATCAAAGCTGTGATCAGATCTCTTCATTATAAAGTATCTACCCATACGCTTCTTATGTATGCATAGGTGTTATATTGGTTTGAATCAGATTGAATAATAAATAACATCAGCTAGTATGATACCATTAGGGTCTTAATTATTTTTCAAAAGCAAAAAAAGCCAAAAAAGAAAAAGAAAAGGACAATGCCAATGGTTGCAGTAAAGAGGTTACTCAGTTCTATTTTTCATGGGTAGCAACTTAAAACAAAATTACAGGTAGTAGAGGAAAGTAAACAATTAGAGATCTTTTAATAGTCGATTGAACTAGGCAATAGGCATGGAATAACATTTATTGTAAGTGAAATAACTGTAGAATGATCTGACCAGGCAAGAGGAGTCCCTTCCACCACAGAGCAATAGCATGCCATCTGAGCGTGCGCTAACAGTTGCATACCTGAAAAAGAACAAGGTGTCAACATCCTGAAACATCCAGGTGGTAATGCAACTGAACTTAAAAACAGAAAAAATGACAGAATATAAAAGGAGTCAATAGAATGCTAGTTTAGTTTCATGTGTTAAGACAAGCATCTCAAAGTTTAGCTTCCATTCAATAAACCCAAGGAAAGACAAAATGAAAGCTAACAGAGTGAGGACAGAAGTAGAAATGCATTTACATTATGATTTGGGGCCATTTTTCTTTCCAAAACTGTCGCAAAATGTGCTTTAGCATTGTTGGAACAATATTCAAGATAGTGCAGCATTAAAATGCCACACTTTACGAGTGTGATTAAAACAGTGCCCCCAATTTTTATCCCACTTGAAAATGTGGCATTCAGTGTTCCCACCAATAACGAAATGACCAAAAAAAACATTAGTTGGTTTTGAAACCGGCCTCTATCGTAGCAAGTATTTTGAAGCAATACGAGGGAAATAAGTGCAGAAACAGTAGACTAACTAATGAATGCACAAATACTTGTACAGCTCACACAGATGTTCAAAGAATCACATTCTCAAGTAGAAACTAAATGCATACATTCTAGCAAACGGTCTGTCTCCTTCTGGGTTGAGCCTCTGCCATTGGTATGGTTTTTGTGTTGTATCTAAAACCCATGCATCAGACAGCACCCGTCTGCCTAAAAAAAGTGCTCCCCAAACAAACACTTGAGTTACCAGAGAACAAATGTCAAAGAGACAGAGGAAGGGGTGATGAACAATAAACAGGTGGGACATACACATATATATTTATATAAGAACCAAAATGACCCCTCACCGTCATTCCCACTGACAGCCACAAGGTACCGCTGAAATACCAGATCCATTGCGTGGCCATAACGGGGTCCTGGACCTGGGCCTTGAACCACCACTCTAAAAAGAGTAGTTACAATAAAAACCCATTGAAACACAAGAAGAAGAACTCAAAAATTGCAAGAAGAGGTGTTTGGTACCTGTGCCACCGAGACTTAGCGCTTGTGATATCAAGCACATAGATATCATCAGTGGAATGCCCTGCTGGCCCTATCCCTCCCTAATATTAAGAGTAGAGTAGATTAGAGAAATAAATCTAAGGCTCCTTCTCCACCTAGTCATTAAAGATAATTGTTGAACAAGTAAAAAGAAGAGATAAATAGCTATCATGGTAAAGAGGAGAGGAGGGCTTTTCACCTGGATGACGACCATGGTACCAACAGCAGCAGCTGCATGTGCTGCACGCGGAGATGGAGGTTCTCCTGAAGGCTGCAGCCTGCAGTTGTAGTTGTAGTGAAAAACATACTATATATTCATATAATAAAGAACTTAAATATATTTTGGAGAGAGCGAGAAAGGAGGACCTGGTCCATTTCCGAGTGAGGACATCATAGGAGTGAACTGAATTAGTAACACCAGCCAATCCTGCATCAAATCAAGAGAGACAGAACAATGAAAACAGTAGTCTGGAATCAAATTTTAGGCAGAACGAAAAGAGAAGGAAGTAAAGGAATAGGAGAAAAGGAAGGAGGAAAGGGATGACATACTTATGCCAGCACCAGTAGAGGACATCTCGATGGCAGTTGCTCCACCAAAGAGGATCAACCGAGGCCCAACATAATGATGGGAACCAGAACTAGAAGAAGAATTCGAAGGGGTAGAGACAGGGGTGAGAGTGTGACCACAGCGTGGGCCAGGGGAATCTTCATCCGTCTCCCAAGAGGTATCCACCACTCTGTAAGCGGATGCAGGGAGGGGAGCAGGACACAATCTCAGCTTTGATCCCATTCTTCACTACTTATTAACACAGACAGATGCAAATGATTTATAGCCCAACTGCCCAAAACTCCAACTCTATGGTGCCGATACTACACTTTGAAGTTGGTGGTGGTAGTGAGTCATGATCTCCTTCAATGATGGCCTTCAAAATCTTGAGTTACTGAAAATTTGGGAAAGTCAACATATCTGAACCAAATCAACTTCAGTTTCAGCTCTCCTTTAGTCAAATCCAAAGAGGAGAAGGTGAGGATATATGTTGTTGCTGCAGCCATGCCATGTTGGAGGAGATCTGAGTTGTGAGATGGATAGAATGAGATAAGATGGGATGGGGTCCAAGACTTTCCCCACGCAAATACGAATTAAAAAACAGAAAAACATGACGGTGTCAAATTGTATTTAACCTTGGGCATGTTGAAGCTTGGCATTCAAGTGTGGAGGACCAGCTTGAGCTTGTCTCAAGCTTTAATAAGCTAGCTTGAGCTAAACAATTAAATTAAAGAAAAGGGGTCTACTAGCTTGAGCTTGGTTCGGTTAAGGTTGTAAGTTTGATCTTGTCTTGACTTGGCTTGAACCCAAAAACAAGCCAAGTCAAACCATTAACCAGCTTGAGCTTGCTTCTCTCAGTTTATTTTCTTAACAAGCCCATAAACAAGCTAAGTCACGCTATAAACAAGCTTGAGCATGGCTTGGCTTGGATTGTTCATTTAAACAACAACATATGTCAACTTATATATTAAAAAAAAGGAGAAAAAACCATTTGCTTGACCAATATATTAAGCATAGTTTGTGTGTGTGTGTGTGCTTGTGCAGTTTTGATCCTTTTGAAGTAGAATTTATTCCCTATAATTATATTGATACGATTTCAAAATCTAGACCACAAATACTAAATTTCTTAGGATGCATGCATGAATGTATGCCATCACCATGCAATATGGACCCTCGATTTTAGTTTATTCAAGCATAGCTATCCAGATTTCTTTATAAAGATTTCAAAACCCATTCCTATAAACAAGGGACTCAAGCACATATGGGATTTGAATCCCTTAAGGGACGCACTTTCTCAAAACCATAGCTAGAGGAGCCCCAAAATTTAGGGATATGGGGCCTAAATATTACCCATATTGAGAACATACCTACTCACCCTAGCACCCAAGCCCAAAACACAACAGTAATAATAATAACAATATGAATCCCAAGTTAACAATTATCAAAAAAAATAATAATAACAATATGCATCCTAGAAGTGTCTAAGAAAACCCCAACCCATCAGTGAACACAAACCATCAATTTTTTTGTGGTCAACTAGGGGTGTTAGAGAACTCAAATTCAGTTTAAAAAATAAAACTATTCATTTAATGATGATGAGGCAATTTGCAAAATTTTAGGTCAAACAAGTCCCTTACAGGTCTTAAGCTAACACCATTTTTTAACACATGCCACTTTCAAGAGACTTGGCCCGTTCAAAATTAATATAGAACAAGCACCTAGTACTTGAGGGGAATGGAATGTCGACCACATAGCACACAATCAGTGAATACAAGGGGCAAATGACTGGTCAAGGAATAAAACTCGGGCAATTTTTCTATAAGGCAGTAACAGCTTATGTGTTTGAACTGACTACGACTTGCTACTTCATGGAGATAGCTCCATGGATTCAAGAGAAGAAAGGCCAGGAACCGGATCTTTATTAGAATGAATATTCAGCTGAAGAGGAATGTGATAGCTTGGAGCAATGTCAATTCATATTGGATTACTTGTTCCTTAGTAGTTGGATCTCTCACCAATCCTGTTTTGGCTCTTCGGCTCTTCGTTCTTGGGCACCTGATCAACACCAGCAAAAACATACCTAAACAAGGTCCCTTGTGCCAGAGGGCATCCATTGATCTACAATGGATGCCCTGACAACAAAACCATTTTCTAGGTTTTCTTCCCAACTCTTTTCACAATACTGTTCATCAAATCCAAGGGACTGTGTATGCAAGATTTGGGCTTGGACAAATGTCTCTAAGGCCCTCAAAAAACGATCTAGGACAGACAGTATAGGGGTCCCCCCTATGGCTTACCAAATCTTTTTCGATATCGTGGAAACTCCCCCATAAGATCCTAAAGCTCCTAAAATCAATTTTTGATAATCCTGCCTCAAAAACTGTCATCTGCCAAATTGCAATACAAGTGCTCTCTCTCTCTCTCTCTCTCTCTCTCTCTCTCTCAAACAAGTCCCCAACAAATCATTCATTAATCATTATCAGGAATAATTTTATTGAAACAGTGAATCATCATCCAAACAGGTTCTAAAAGAGTTAGTCTAAAATAGAGAGAATTCCCAATTAAAGAAGGAAAAGGAAGATCAGGAAAGATTTCACCATTGAGCATGGTTGGTTTGGAGCTCTATTTTTAGCGCATAGCTTCTTCAAATTTTCAGACTTAAACATTTAGATACTAATTTAATTTAAAATATTGTTTGTAATTTCATTGGTTACAAACCGTCTGTAGACTGGTCATGCATAAAAATAGAAAAACTAACTTATGCAACTTCTCATAGAGTTTGATGGTTTAACCGCAACAGAATAGCACATCATAAAGAACTTCTGACCATGTCACTATTCTTGAATGTTGATATACCAACTTGAAGCCTCTGGAATCATATAAAAAATAATAATGCCTATGGATATATAACTAGAACTCGTGTTGTATGCATGCTGATTGTATGTTTACAGCTACACCATAGGTGACTCTTGATAAATAGACCATCTCAGACAAGTGCTGATAGTGTAAAAGAATATTTTTGCCATAGTGTCCAACTTGATAAGTTCAAGCAAGATCGACGAAAAAAAGCATCCAGTGGAGAGAAACACTCAATTCGCATGTTTATGGTAATTCAATCGATGAAAAGGATAAAAAACATAAGCTGAAAGCTAATTGACATTAACACAGGAACGAAAGAAAATAACAGTCCTTACTATATTGTGATTTGAGGCCCCTGAGTCTGTTGAGAGATTTGGAGTATAAGAGGAGCCTTAGCTAAGACCCAAAGAGACCCTTTGCTAGGGTTTTGGTGCGCGCTGTTGAGAGAGAGGGAGATGACCCCTTTCTAGCGTTTTGGATGAGGACACCGTTTTGCTAGGTGAGAGAGAAAACCCCTCGTGCTTGGTAATAATCCCCTCTGGAGAGAAGAGTGTTGGACTGAGCGCCTACTTTTTCGTTACAACGTTCCAGGAATTGGGTTGGGGCTTTTGGCAGCTGACGTCGGGTATTCAATTTCTTGTATATTTATAAACAAATAAGGAAGAAAGATTAAAAAAAACAAAAAAAAATTTAAGAGATTGAATGGTTTTCTTGGCACTTACCCCATGCGAGGCACGGCCAGGTACGCAACGATAGAGGAATAGCATGCGGTAAATCTCGGTTAAATCCGGTTACAGTTGGTTTCGGTTTTGGGTAATTTTGATGATTGAGTTGTATTTAAAAAAATATATATCAATTTTTAAAATAAAGAATTTGTTTTGTAATGTATGTTTTAATATTCTTTACGTTATGATAAAGAATATTAAAAAACCGGTCGGTTCAATCGGTTTAACTAGACAAATCTTAGGAGGTCAAAAAAGTTTTAAAAAATAAAAAACAAAAAAAATCTAAAAGCATAATTAAACAAACCACATCCAAATAAAATTAAAAACTAGTGAAAAAATGGATTTTAAAAAATCGGTTTGTGCTTCGGGTATTTTAAAAAAATAAAAAAAATAAAAAAATATAAAATTAAATATTAATGACCAAAACACTTGTCAATCTTTGCCAAAATGATGTAAAACATTGAAATAATGCATTTCAAATAAATCCCTAATTTTTTGAGATTTTATATATATATTTTTAAAATACCAGTCCAGATCACTAAAACCGACCCAAACTAGCCAGTGACCGATTTCAATCTAACCAAGCAGTTTTAATTTAAAGTGCTTGATTTTGCAAACATTGGCACAACCTTAAGGATTGGGAGAGGGAAACACAGGGTAAGGCCTACTTAAGGTCCTCGACCTTAAACCATGAAGTAAAACACACATTCAAACCCACTTGAAAAATAATTATGGTTTTTGTAAAGGGTGTGGTTTGTATAGAGCTTAGGCTTTGAACAATCAAATTAGAGCCTATCTTCAAATAGTTTTGACAATTGTGGTTTCAATACGTAAAATCTATATGATAGCCTTAAAATGTAATTTTATCTCTATTTATAAACTTTAAAGCTTAAAAAATAGTGTAGATCGACAAATATATGAGAATTTGAAAATCTTGAAAATTGACATTCCAAAAATGCATTACAAAATATTCTATTTCCAAAACTTGAAATCCATTTTTCTCTCGTGTCCATGTATCTTGATGTCGAGATGATCAATTTCAGGATATTTGGGCATAAAAACAACCTCTTTTAATAAAAATTTTGAGGTAGGCTCTTATTTCTCTTTTGTAGATATCTAGGAAAATTATCAAAACTCTCATTGGAGTTTTTTAGAAAAATTCAAAAAATATAAAAAATATTTTAAAGTTATAGATGTTGTTGAAGCAAAAGTCAACAAGGCTTAAGACTACTATCCTCTTTTATTTCTCTCCCAATGCAAGCTTCTTTTACTTTTCAACAAAAATAGTAATAGGTGATGCGATTACTCAAAGGGCAGGCGAGAGCGCCATGGAGATTTTTTTTTTTTTTGGGTAATTCAATGGGAAAGCAGGCTGCTACTTAGTTTTTCAATAGATTTGTGTGTTATATTTTTTTCAATAGATTAGAAAGTTACATTTTGGAGGTGTCAACAATAGGAATGGATACAACATTTTTCAATAGATTAGGTAGTTACATTTTGGAGGTGTCAACAGTAGAAATGGATATCACAATATGATAACTGGGTGTGTGATGCTACCACCCCGACCCCAGCCCGTCAAAGGCCTCAAGCTTGGCAATACTACCGGCAAGGCCGATGCCATTGTCTTTTTTCTTGACAAATGTTCAAAACTTTTATTGATGACTAATTAAACGAGATTACATCATTAGAGATCAAAAGCGACGGCAACAAAGCACCTCCCTTAGCCATAGAGTCAGCTAGTGAGTTTGCTTCTCGGTAAACATGAGAGAAAGAAAAATAAAAAAGGTTCGACCAGGTCCATGATTTGCAACCAAAGAGAACGGAGCTCCCATGGAACCCGCTGTTCTTTTTTGCACCACTTAATTACATTCAAAAAATCCCCTTCAACCCAAACATTCGTTCTCAAATTCTTCTCAAACAAAATTCTCACCCCACACAAAAAAACACTTAATTCAGCATAATTTGTTGTTTTGACCCCAATCAAACCAGCAAATGAGAGAATTATAGAACCCAAGGAATCACGTACTACACCACCAATTCCAACAATACTTGGGTTTTCCAGAGAACTCCCATCAAAGTTAAGTTTAATACATCCAGTGGAAGGAGCAGTCAAAAAACATCGTGGTCTACTACGAGCACACCCAAGGAGAAAGGGCTTGCTAAGGTTTGCCGTTACAACAACTTTTGGAATCCCCAACCATTCTTTTGTTACAGACAACCATAACCAAATCGAGTGCTTGATGTTTGTTAAACGTTTCTCAAAGGGTAGGGAGTTACGTTCAAAGGTTCTTCTATTCCTCTCCTTCCAGATTTCCCAAAGGATGACACCTTTTGAGATTTTCCAAATTAATTTACCTATCACAGCCAAATGTGAGATAGAAAATTGAGAAATACTCCCTTCAACAGATTGAGAAAGCGCCATAAACCCCAAAAGTGCCAAACAACCAGTTCCAAATTCGTGCTGTAAAGGAACAGTGAATAAGCAAGTGTGCACCCGACTCTCCATCAGCTTTACACAATAAACAGACATTAGGTAAGATTTTTCCCTTTTTTATTAAGTTGTCAATGAAAATCTTATTCAGATATGCAAGCCAAATAAAACCTTGCACCTTATGCGGGATATGCCGCTTCCAAATTTGTAATAGTTTTGGTTTAGACCATCTTAGCCTATCGTAAAACATGAGGTTGTAACACCATTTAACAGAGAACATCCCATCACTTTCGATCTCCCAAATAATTTCATCATCTGCATTAACCGCAACATAAGTTTTATCCAAAGTTTCCATTAAAAAGCACCATTGGGAAAGAAGGGCATTGCTCAACCAACCATAAGATAGAGAAATATTCCAAGAATTTTGCGTGCCCTTCTTTCTAGAGCATTACTAACTATCAAATTGGGCTGGGTAACCAATCCATAAAGGTCAGGAAATGCTACTTTCAAAGAGTACTCCCCTATCAATTTATGGTGTCATAAAGATACTTGACTGCCACAACCAATATTCCACCTTGAATATCCCGAAACAATTGGCCTACATCTGTAGATAGCCTTTTAAACCTGTGACATCTCCCTCCCATGTCCATTACCTAACCACATTCGGAATCTATTTATCCCATATTTAGCCAAAAGTACTTTAAACCAAAGATGAGTTTTGAACTGTAAACTTTGCCACCACCATTTATATAAAAGTGCATGGTTAAACACCCTTATCCTTCGTATACCCAAACCTCCTTCTTTATTCGGCGTATAAACCCTATCGCACCTTAGCAAGTGGAACTTCTTCACATCAATATTAGAACCCCACAAGAAGTCCCACATCATTTTTTTTAATTTTCGTGCAACTGAAGCAGACATATTTATCAGAGACATTTGATAGACTAGGAGATTGGTTAGACAGGATCTCAGCAATGTGACCCTTCCACCAAATGAGAGGTATTTGTGCTTCCAGATATCTAATTTAATTTGAACTCTTTCAAGCACAATATCCCAGACCATGGAGATTATTTCGTATTTTTGATGGAATAGGAATATGTGAGTTCTAAAATACAACATCCTTTTAATTTTCTAAGAACAGTTTACATCAAAATTATATACATGATGAAATTTGAAATTTGAAGGTGCACCTTACCTCTACACTGACGGATGTATGCAAATAGCCCTTTTGTTTTGTCCATCATTCTTTATTCTAATTTTACTCCGACTCCAAAGACTGAAAATCCAAAGTGACAAATGACTTCGGATTTTCAATATATGTAGTCATATTGATTTTATTTTAAAGCCATTTTTAGGGAAAAAATTAAGTCAATCCGTTTGGCTCATTGGATTTAGATTTTCAGGAATAACTTTTCCTTAAAAAGTTGGATCAATCGTGTTTGATTCACTTAGAATTGACATTTCCGTTGGAATTGAAATTTTCGTGGGATTCCTGAATACTCATTTTAAGCCTAAATTTTAGAAATCTCAATTCCACCAAAATAGGTGGAAGTGACATATCATGGAAATGATCCATTTTGTTGCTGAAGAATAATGAGAGAAAACATATTAAAATTTTAGAGAGGGAAATTATATCAAATTTTAGAGAGAGAAAGTATATAAAATTTTTTAGAGATAAAATATACAAAAAAATTTGGAGAGAGAAACTATCTCAAATTTTTAGAGAGAGAACTGTCTCAAATTTAAAGTTTTAGGGAGACCATATTAAAATTTTATAGAGAAAAAGTATCTTAGAATTTTAAAGAGAGAAACTACATCAATTTTTAGAGAGAAACTACTTAAAAAAAATTTAGAGAGAAATATCTCAAAACATTTAGAGATAAATTATCTTAAATTTTAAATTTTACAGAGAGAACATATTAAAATTTAAGAGATTAGTAACTATATCAAATTTTCGATAGAGAAACTACCAAAAAATTTATAGAGAGAGAAACTATCTCAATTTTTAAGTTTTAGAGAGAAAAAATATCTTAAAACTTTAGAGAGAGAAGCTATATCAAATTTTAGATAGAGAAAATACTTAAAATGTTTAGAGAGAGAAACTATTTAAAAAAAATAGATAGAGAAACTATATCAAATTCTAAATTTTAGATAGAGAAGGTATATTAAAATTTTTGAGAGAAAAACTAGTTGAAAATTTTAGAGAGAGAAACTATCTTAAATTTTAAGTTTTACCGAGAGAACATTCTTAAAACTTTAGAGAGAGAAACCCCATCAAATTTTAAATAGAGAAAGTACTTCAAATTTTTAAATGGCTGTCCATTTTCAATTTTGAGATAATCCTAAGAATTTTTTACACCAAAATTACATATTATGATAAAATTAGGAGGTGCGTCTTAATTGGATGGTTTAAGGTTGCAACCTTATAGAAACCACACCCATTAAGTTAAAATTTAAATAAGGACGTGGTTAGCATAAGGCCAAGCCCACACAAGTAGAAATGCGAGCTTGGCAATAAATATATTTTTTAAATATAATTTGATCCTAATTATTAGCATATATATAATATTTAACATGGAGATCATGAATATGAAAAAAATAAACAAAATTTGAAAACTATAAATATTGTACAATTTCTGATACTTAAATTCTTTTTATTTTTCATAGTCATATGTCTCGATGTCAAGATGATCAATCAAAGGGTTTTTCAACATTAAAACTATCTTTTCCTATGGATATTTTAGGGGCATCCGTAGTTCTACATTATAAGGTAATGTCCTTATATAAACTTTTTCCTTTGAATAATAATGGAGTTAATTAACAAGGATCACCCTCTTTCCTCATCTATGTATTAATCTATTAATCTATTTTATTTATTTATATATAAAACGAGAGGTTGGTCCCTTTTATTGTTATGATAAGGTGTCAACCTCATACCATAGAAAAGTAAGGTGCACCTAAAAAATCCATTAAGAAGGTTTTTCCTGTACTGTAAAACCCTCATATCGTTCATCTCAATCTTGAGATTCATAACTATATAAAAAGATGATATTTAGTTCTAAAAATAGTTTATCGTCTAACACATTATATGAAGGGAAAGGTTTCTATACTTCCCCTACAGCATAGAAGATCTATGCTTCCTCTACCATCCAGCCATCTAATTTTGATCAAGAGAGTCACTCACCGTTCGATCTTAGATCCGACGTTTCAAAGTATTTTATTTTTAGTTTTTTTTTATATACAAATTGTATGAGTATGAAATTTGGTACATGTCATCTTCTCATTAGGGTGAACCTATAAAAAATATTAAAAATAATTTTTCGATAAATATAATGACCAAAATACCCCTTGAAACTTCTAGGGGTATTTTGGTCACTTAATTTTACTAGAAATATTTTTTTATGTTCTTTTGCTAGTGCAAGTTTAATAGAGGATTGGACATCCAAAATTTGGTGTCAAAATAGTTTATAGAAAAAATATTAAAAATACAATTGGATAAAGGGAAATATATAAGTTTTATGCAGTAGGGTAAGCATAGAAAGCTTGCCCTTTTATGAACTGTCTATTTTCAAAATTTTCAAATATTCATAGATCTACTTGATCGTCACTATTTGTGGAATTACAAAAAAACATTGAGGGCTTGCGCTTCAGCAGTTCCGATGGTTATGTTTTCATGCAATATTAAAAGGTAATAATCACATTCGGGTGAAAAAATAAGAATAAAGAAGGTGCTGAGAGAAGAAGCTCCCATGCAAACACGAACTCCCATCATCCTCCCCTGATTCTCTTAGCCATTGCCATTATGCTTACCGGCCATTTCCTGACGAAGCCAATAACGCTTCTCTCCACAAACTCGCATTTTTTTATCTGTACACTTCTATCAGACTTCCCATTACTGTAGTCAACCCAGTGCTTCAAAAAGCGCTAGGCAGCGCCTAAGCAAGTCATCAATCATGAAAGACAAGTTCATGCTTATGCAGTCAAGTGTGGGTATGATCTCAATATACAAGTAGAAACCGCTCTTCTTTCATTGTATGCAGAATGTGGGTTGCCTAGATTTTGCCATGGAACTCTTTAGTAAGATGATTGAACCCGATATTGTTTCTTGGACGGCCTTGATTTCAGCTCATGTTAAGCTCGATCATAACCAAGACGCCCTCATTTGGCTTGTAAAGATGGTGCGTGAAGGCACAAAACCAAACCAGTTCACTCTTGCCAGTGCTCTCACAGCCTCTACCAAACTGACGGCCATGGAAACAGGCAAGCTGATCCATGCCCAAATCATAAAAACAGGGGTTCAAACTGATTCCTTTATAGCCAGCAGTCTCCTAGACAATATATTCGAAATGTGGAAGCCTAAAAAAGGCAGTTTCTTGCTTTGAAGAAGCACCAAAGGGGAACATTGTTATATGGAACTCTATTCTCGCAGGTCAAGCTTGACATGAGACTGGTGAGGAGGTTTTGGGCCTTTGTTAGAGGATGATAGAATGTGGCATGACCATGTATCTTTTCTCACAGTTCTATTAGGTTGCAGCCATGGCAAGCTGGTTGACGAAACCATGTTTTGGTTTAGGCGAATGAACATGGAATATGGTATTGTTCCCAAGGAGGAGCACTATGCGTGTGTTGTTGATGCCCTAGGGCGAGCTGAAATGCTCAGCAAAGGAGTAAAATTTGTTGGGTCGATGTCATTTGGCCCAGGGCTTGGGGTTTTAAGGTCATTGCTCAGCTCCTGCAAAACTCAGGTTGCATTGCTCTAGGTTTGGCAGTCGCAGCAAGAATCATGAAGTTAGAACCTCACGACCCTGAAACACTTGTGCTTCTGTCAAACCTGTATGCCAGCCATGGGAGGTGGGAGGAAGCAGAGTGGGTGAGGGAAGTAATTGGGAAGACATGGATGATGAGGTAGGAAGCTGGGCAGAGCTGGATTCAGACTTAAGTTTAGCTGATTGGGAAGATGGATTATCTAAGTATAGCTGAATGGAAAGACGGATTGAGACTAAGTTCTTTCACAAATTTGGACAGAAGTTAGGTCTTAATTAGCCGGAATAAGTATAATGTTTGACTAATGCACGGTTGAAATATGGACCATGCTTTTAGTAACTAACTACATACACGAGAAAAAAAATCTATGACCGACAGTTTTAGACTTGGTGGCTCTTCATGCCGCAGAGTGAGATTTGTGTCCCACAATAGCGAAATGCGAACAATCGCTACGGGGTTGGTGGATGTCCCAATACATTTGGAGAGTACCATGCTCCTTCTCACGTGGGTATAATTTGCTGGATTTTGCTGGAAATTGTTGGTGGGGGTGAAACGGAGGCAATAAAAATATCAGTTTGATTGCAACTTTAGCAAACACATGGAGAGATCTTCATATTTTGAGGCATGTCAATGCTCTATTTCAAGACTGTTTTCCCATCATGTGCATAAAGGTTCTCCTTGCAAACTTGTTTTATACACTTCCCATAAATAATAATTGGGTTAGCTTAATGATTGAAAACGTATGTTTGGGTGGAGAACTTTTTGTGCTACCACAGAGAAAAGAACAAAATCATAAATTCCTTGTCCTTAACAAATATCTGCCACATTCAATTTTCAGTACATACACTCACACCTAATTTGGGTTCGCATTAAGCACAGCCATAATTTAAAATATAAACTACTATTCATGAAACCCACCACAAATGAGAATGTAAAAGGAAGTCCATGACATCCAACCAGAATTTTCAAAACAAAGGCAACCTCCCACCTGCTCCCAATAATCTGGCTGGATTGCTTTTTTCATGGTTACAGACAAAACAAAGCATGAATATTCTGAACACTTAAAGCAATTTTAATGTTTAGAAATACTAATCTAAAGTAATTTTCCCAAACTTATCTGCTTTTTATAAGAAATTTGGTAAAAAATTCATATTCCAAAACTTCGTCAAACTTATCTAGTTTTTTGCAATAATTTGGTGACTATGAACCAAGCTAGATTCATAGAAAAACCACAAAACGATACCAATTGAGAGGAACTCAACTAATTTGGTGAGTGATATCGAGTCAATTTATAAAAAAAGAGCATGTATATTACTCAAACACAGAACCACATACATCTGCATAAGCACATCATAAGTAATACAACCAAACACAAGATCCATCAGCCATTAACCAATCAAATCCAGCTAGATAGCTATATAGGGGTCTGAATATTCAGAAGAATACCAACTGCCTATCATCCACCCAATTGAGAGAAACAAAAGGAAGACCTCAAGCATGAGGGCCCATATAGACAAAGTGAAAGACGATGGCAACTGGTCATTTAGCCAATTGCTGGGCCTGCTGTGCCTGAGGATTGTCCTGCTGATAGTTGAGAGGCCTCCTGAAGAGCATGATGTGGGGCTCTGGCCTATGGATTGCATAGTGCACCCACCCTCTTGATTGCTGCACCCCAATAGCCCTCCATTCATTCTGCAAGCATAAGGCATGTGATCTTAAAAAGAAAACACTTAGGAGATTTTAAACAGGAAAATATAAACCTTAAGCATGTAAAATTACAAAGAAAACATGTGAAATTTGAAGTTCTGAACAGGTAATCACAAAACAGAAGGAATGCATGGTCACTCTTAGATCACCTCACATTTAAAAGTTTTTCAAACTAAAACCTGATCGACATTTAAGAATGTGGTTCACTGTGTGTTTAATGGCATTCTCTTTAAGAAAGAAATTAGTTGTATTTCCATTCCTAGATAATTAATATGAATAAAACTTGAGTAGAATAGTTGACGCCAGATGAATAGCTACAAGGGTATAATAAACAGGAAAATATAAACCTTAAGCATGTAAAATTACAAAGAAAACATGTGAAATTTGAAGTTCGGAACAGGTAATCACAAAACAGAAGGAATGCATGGTCACTCTTAGATCACCTCAAATTTAAAAGTTTTTCAAACTAAAACCTGATCGACATTTAAGAATGTGGTTCACTGTGTGTTTAATGGCATTCTCTTTTTGCTCATGAACATGTAAACATTTAAAGAAATTCCTGATTGTCATATAGGCTGTAGCATAGTGGTAGAAAACCAGATCTAGAGGAAAGCCTAGGGTCAAAGCCCTCCATATCCCAAAACCAAACCATGCAAACCTACCTCATTTTTTGTATCTTTTGGTGATTTGTTTCAGATGGGTTTACCAGTTTAGAGAATGTATTCAAATGCAAGTGGAAGAAGAAAGAAATTAGTTGTATTTCCATTCCTAGCAAATTAATATGAATAAAATTTGACTAGAATAGTTGACGCCAGATGAATAGCTACATGGGTATAATAACATGACCATAATAAACTATCAAAGTGCACAAAAAACTGTAAAATGGATAAAACAAAAAAAGATGGTGGTGATCTATGCATCAATATTCCCTGTAACACAAAAATAATTCAAAATATCTAAAATAATAACGACAATATGCAAGAGTTTCAGAGATTAGCCCAATAGAGTAGGCCACGAATTAAATTGAAAAGCAAGTTTATTAAAGAACCTTGAATATGGATATCAAAACAACAAAAAGCACCATAGTTATAAAATATCAATTCAAGAATACCTGAACCTCAAAAGCAAAGAAGAGATTTAAAAAGGACGTGATAATGAATGCAGAAGTATCTGCAAGAACGAATATAACACCCAGAAATTACAAAACAACAAAATACAGATGCAAGTGTTAAGCGCCATCCAATTCAGGCTAAACTTTTGACTCTGAAAAAAATGAGGTGCAAGATGTAGTAAACTCTTTGATATAAAAAACATATTATCTATTCCAATTTAACATTAATAGGTTAAGTGTGAATAACAAAAAGAGTGATGTAAATGAACATTTCGGATTCTAAATAACAAAAAGAGAAATGACCAAAGAGAAATGAAGCATTGTAATGGGCTAACTAAAAGATGAAAAGCAACTGACAAGGAAAACACAATCATCTTATACTATTTAATAAAATTCATGGAAAGCGAAAAGAATAAAATAAATATTAACTAAGAGCATACTAAAAGAATACTGAAACTCTCACACTTAGAAACTAAAAACACCTCATCATCATCCAAGCCTTATCCCAATTGTTACAAACCAAGACACCTATGCACCAATATTGCTAGTCCTTTAGAATGACAGTCACAGAATTCTAGATATTGTCTTAGAAACATCTCAAATCACTTCCCATTTTCTTCCACTGTTTCAGCAGAGTGACTTGTCTAGATGATCACAGTATATACTCAGGTAAAAATGTAATATCCCATCCTTTTCCACTTAGGAATAAACAAAAAATAAATGAATGAAACGATACGCTTGCAACTTTTAATTTTAACATAATCATCACCAAATGATCCTTGCACTGTAACTGATAACCCAAAGTTCAGGAGGAAAATAAACAGAATGTGAACCGTTTTTTTGTTTTTTGAGGAAAACAGAATTTCAACCTTATCGTTCAAGTCATTTGAGTCTATTACTTCTTTTGTAATAACTAATTATCAATCCCTAACTTCCCTCTACAGTTTTATTTTTCTAAAATTCTCCTACACGTCAATTGGTTTAACTATTACAAGCAAACAACAACCAATTGGGTATTGTCATGTTTCAAATCAAGTTATCAAGATTCAGATTCCAGAAGTGAAAGGAAAAAGAATCACAAGTCACGTAAGAGATTAGCCAATACATAATCTCTTGTGCAAGTAATAGGGATAAATCACATCAGAAATCCCAAGAATGGAAATCAACAAAAAATTAACACAAAAATCAACCATAGAGACAGAAATATTCCAACCATTTCCAATTTATATTTAGTGGCAACTCCACAGTAAATTCATCTAGAAAAAAGGAATATATACTTAGAGAAAATAGAAGAATTCCCGGTTATATAACAATTAACAGCTGCTGGATACCCAACATAGAAGCTATCAACCAAAAAAATAAAAAAAAAAGGAAAGGAAAAACGACTGTTTTAAGAAGAATAAACACATCCTGAAATTTAAAGAAATAATTTCAGAGATATTCTACAAAGGAAAATGCAAACAATTAACAATGTCAGTCCAGATATGTGGAAACCAAGGAAACAATGAGGAAAAGAGAGAAACAAAGAGTAAAAACCTGAAGACCTGTTACAAAAGGCCAGAGAACACTGAAAAATTTGAAGCATATCAAGCAATATTGAACAGATTTTCATAAAGTTTTAAACTTACAGTGTCAAAGAAAATGCACAAAAGCCCTAGGTCTCTGGTGGTAGTGAATGCATTGCCATAATAAACCCTAAATATTCCATTTCTATACATCAAGGCACCAAGAAACCCTGATTTTTCTTTTAAAAGGTCATTCTCATGAAACTCTAACCTAATTTTTGAATTTCCGTAAATTAGTTTACCTCAGTCAGAAGCCGATTCTTCGGAAGCAATTTCGCAACATCAGGTGGGAGGACAACGTGCCTGCAAGAAACAAGGCCTCTAGAAATGAGAATGGAGAACTCATAGAAGAAAACACATAATGACCAATGCCAATCGAGGGAGAATGAGACATGGAGAGAGATAGAGAAAACCTGTACTCGTGCGTATCATCAAAATATTTCTCAGAGTATTGGATCTGACCCATGTTCTTCTAAAGTGAAAATGGAGGTTACGAAGGCAGGGGGGAGCGAGTGGGTGATTCTGAGAATTTATTAAAGGGAAATAAGGGCGAGGGGAGAGGGTGACGCCACGCTCCTTTTCGCGGCCTTTCAAATTTCAAATCTAGGGTTTCTTACCCTCTCCTCTACCCCTGCTCCGGAAATTCAGGCGTGCTCTTTTTCTTTTTTCAATTTTTAAAGGTAAATTTTTATTTTGAATATAATGCTCATTTTTTAATTTCACTTCCTCGTAGTTTTATCCTTTCTTTATCCAATCGTCAATTTTTAATGGAGAGTTAAGATTGCTTTAATCATAATATTTCTACATTATTTTATTTTTAATTTATTTTCTATAAGCTTATTTTACACCAAATTTTGGACGTTCATTTCTCTATTAAACACGGATGAACAAAAAATATAAAAAAATATTTTCAAAAAAACAAAATGATCAAAATATCTCTAAAAGTTTCAAAAGATATTTTGGTCATTATTTTTTATCACAAAATTATTATTAATATTTTTTATAGGTGCACCCTAATGAAAAAATGGCAAGTAGCAAATTTCATATTCAAAAAATTTGTATTAAAAATAAAATACTTTGAAACGTTAGATCTAAGATCAAACGGTGAGTGGCACTCTTGATTAAAAAATAGACGGTTGGATGGTAGGGGGGGACAGAACTTCTATGTGGTAGAAGAAACATAAAAAGCTTTCCCAAAAGTAAATGTTTCATAATACTTTTCCTAATATATATTTCATTGTATAATGTAATGACCTTACTTTTTGGTTGGAACGTAAATATTTCTCTAAAAGTGAATTACATGTACAATATTTTATAGGAAATTTTTTGTAAACTTTCTTTTTACTATGATTGTTAGCATGTTTAAAGAGTATTGTGTAATTAATTATATATAATTGGTAACTTAGTTTGGTAGTTAAATATATTTTGTAAATATATTAAATCTATATATGCTACATTTAAAGGAAATAATTTATATAAGGTTGGAACCTTAAAATATATAATTAAGGTGAACCTAAAAAACTATTATAAAATATTGTTTGGATGTTGAAAAACCCTCTAATTGATCATCTGGACATCGAGATGTAAGAATATAAATAAAATAAAATTTTGAGTCCTAAAAATAGAGTATCTTGCAACACTATCCAGACTGTCCATTTTCAAGATTTTGAAGTGTTTATAGATATATTTGAACCATATTTGAAGTTTAAGATTTTATAATAAAAGATGAAAATATATTTTCAAGCCATATTAAAAAATTATATTTATGATAAAATTTGGAAGTACGCCTTAATTTGATTGTTTAAGGTTGCAACATTATACAAACTACGCCCATATTTAAATATTATAATTTAAAATATATAATTATATTTATTTAAAAATTATATAATAAATATTCTTCAAATATTTATTTATATAAAATATTATATAATATGTTTTCTATTATATAAATATATATTATATTATAATATAATATTTGTATAATAGTATATGGGTTATATACCTTTGTTTTGTAATACAATATTTTTTAATAAGGGTATTTTTGGCTATTAGGAGGGGTGTGATGTCATTCATATGGGATGTGAGGTGTGATGTTACTCACATGGAGCATCTAATATGCAAAACAATATATAAATATCTAAAATTTATCGGTTGTAATTATAAAATGCTCTATAGCTCTATAGTGTCAGCACTCTAACATAACCCTTATTGAATTGTCAACAGAGTTTATCGACTACAATTATAAAATAGATATGTCTATCATTTATCATGTGTAACATTTCCTTACTAATGGAGTTTCAGTTTTTGAGAGAGATGCACATGCCAAGGCTAGGAGAATGCAGGAATACGATTAGCCTTGTAGTTTTAGAAGGGCTGAGATTCATGGTTTTTACAAGTCTAAAAAATAATTAAATTTGTTTTATTTTATTATTGTACGTGTAAAAAGGGAGTGGAGGCCTTGCATGGGAATTATTGAGGAGAGAAAATCATAGAAATCGTGCTTGGGTCACGGCAGTAGAAGCTGGAATTTTATAGCACTATGTCTCAAACTCCATTCCTATGTAAACTTATCCTAAAAGAAAGAAAAAGATAAAAAGTCGTGCTTCTCTTGAAAATTTATCTTAATGGGTTGCTGGCGAGAGATATACAACATTGCATTGATTTGGTACCATGCTCGCATGGCCACCAACAAGGTTGGGCTGGGCTTCCCTCATGGGAAGCTAGAATCAACCGAGCAAAGTGAACGGAGGTTGGGCGTCGTATGAAACAAAACGTTTAAGAGGCAATAGGTCTTCATAACGAAGGTCTCTATCGAGAGATATACAACATTGCATTGATTTGGTACCATGCTCGCATGGCCACCATCAAGGCTGGCTGGGCCTCCCTCATGGTAAGTTAGAATTAGCCGAGTAAACTGAACGGAGGCCGTTTGTTGTATGAAACAAAATGTTCAAGAGGCGACAGATCTACGTAACGAAGAAGTGGGAGGATCTATGACTGGAGCAAAAGACCCAGAAGAGGGATCAGAAGGTACATAGATGGATGCGGTACCATGCTCCATGGCCACCAACAAGGTTGGTTAGGCCTCCCTCATGGTAAGTCAAAGGATCAGAAGGTACAGAGATGGATGCGGTACCAAGCTCGCATGGCCACCAACAAGGCTGGTTAGGCCTCCCTCATGGTAAGTCAAAATCAGTCGAGTGAAGTGAAGGGAGGCTGGGCATCGTATGAAACAAAACACCCAGGAGGATAAGACAGATCTACGTAAGTTTAAGATATGAATAAGCAAGTTTAAGATTTACTTAAAAAGGGATGACCCATGAGAGCATGTGTGTTGATAGTTATAGTAGCCAAATATTGAGTTTCATATATTCGGCTGTAGTAGCCAAATGTTGAGTTTCCTATTTTCTTTTATTTTTTGAATGTTGAGTTTGTACTTTCATTCACTTTCACTTTTCTTCAACCATAGAGTTTGCACTTTTCTTCACTTGCACTTTCCTGCAACTACCCCCGTGCTTGAAGAGAGACAAAACGATGAGAGAAAAAGATAACCAAGAAGAGAGAATGGAAGGTTGGTGTCCACACTCGTATACCAACGCTTGTGCAAAAACGTTTGCTTATCGCCTTCAGAAAGGAGAAGGAAGAGCATGAAAACGCAAGGCCGCATAACGGTGATGATCGATCTGTTGTAAAATAGGGATAACCCAATCACCTCTTTTAAGCAAATCGGGATATCTCAAATCCCACTAGATGTGGTGAGCACTTCACCATAATGATTTCAACACTCAAATAACATGCCCAAGATGCAATAACAAATGTAATATAATTAGGAAGCATAAACAAAACAATAAAACAAGCAATATAAGAAATTATCAAAGCACAACATAAATGGAAGTAGAAAGGGACACACACACATGCGGTTTACCCAAGATAGGCTACATCCACGAGCAAAACGGCAAAGATATATTCACTATCAAGATGAAAACCTATAAGATTGAGGTTACCTCATACAATCTCAAGAAAATCTCAAATAAAGAACTTCTTACCACAAAACCACCTACAATCGACTCATTTCTTCGATTCACCGATGCCACAAAGAAATGCCGACAAAATAACTCAACTCGAACCCAAATGATGGCACTAGGGTTTTGTAGCAAAAACCCCCAAATTTTGTCCCCAATCTTTTGTCTACATTTTCACTTGCTATTTCTTTTCGTCTCGCCCCTTTCTCACTCAATTTAATGGGTTATAAACCCTCAACACAAAGGGCCTATTCATAATGACTAAAATGACCATCAAAAAGTTGAGAATACCATATGGGGTGGTGATTTGACATCACATCTCAACAATCTTTACCTTGATGCAAAACCACATCTTTTCTTTGCCAATCCATCATTTTCTATCTTTCTTAAAACTTAGAGAAGTTGGCTCTATTCTAACTTCTCTACTTGGATGGTCTATGTAAGCATATCCGCAAAGTTGTCATCGATCTTGATATTGATCAATTGAACTCTTTCATCTTCAACAACTTGCCAGATATAGTAATATTGAACCAATATATGCCTTAACCTCTTGTGGTGAACCGGGTTCTTGACCAAATGGATAACACTCATATTGTCATAAAATAGTTCCATGGCTTGCATACAATACCCATGTCACCCATCAATCCTTGAAGCCACTTTTTTGATGCCTCTGTTGCTGTCATGTATTCGGTTTCGGTAGTTGACAATACTACTGTATCTTGGAGCCTTGACATCCAACTAACCGGTCCATTTGCAAATTGAAAAATAAATGTGGTAGTCAACTTACCTCTATCAATATCAATGGCAAAATTTGCATCAACAAAACATTGTATTGGAGTTGAGCCCTTGCCAAATGTGATTACATAACTAGTTGTACCTCTTAAGTATCGAAGCACCCATTTTGTTGCTTCCCAATGAACATTTCCATGATTTGCCATAAACTGACTTAGAACACCAACCGCATACGTGATATCCGGTCTTGTACATACCATGACAAACATTAAACTTCTAATCGCATTTGCATATGGCACATTAGCCATGTTCTTCTTTTTTCTTCGGATTTTGCATTGAAGACAATTTAAAGTGAGGCGCTACAGGTGTCTTCACCGGCTTTGCATCTTTCATTCCAATTTTTTCAAGCACCTTTTTTATGTAACCCTTTTGAGATAATGATAAAATTCCATTTTGTCTATCCCTTTTAATTTCAATATCAAGGATTTACCTTGCCAGCCCGAGATCCTTCATCTCAAATTTTTTGCTCAAAGAAATCTTGAGCTCATCAATTTTTGCCTTATCTTTGCATACCAAAAGCATGTCATTTGTATATAAGACTAAAATCAAGTATGTACCATCATCAAATAATTTTAAATAGATGCAATGGTCATACTTACTTCTTGTGTACCCAAGGCTCATCATGAACATACCAAATATTCTATACCATTGTCTTGATGCTTGCTTCAGCCCATACAAGGACTTCTTCAATTTGCACACAAGTCTTTCTTTGCCCTTCTCTATGAAGCCTTTCGATTGTTGCATGTACACTTCCTCTTCAAGTTCTCCATGCAGAAAAGCTGTCTTTACATCCATTTGCTCAAGCTCTAAATCATGCATAGCAAATAACCCAAGCACCAAGCGAATTGAGACCAACTTGATAGCTGATGCAAAAATTTCATCAAAATCAATGCCCTGTTTTTGTGAAAAATCTTTTGCTACCAATCTTGCCCTATATCTTTCAAGCTTGCCATTAGGCCCTTTATTTATCTTGAACACCATTTACAACCAACAACCTTTATACCTTTTGGTAGCTCCACTAAATCCCAAGTCTTGCTTCTTTGAAGGGCCAATATCTCTTCTGCCATAGCTCTTTTCAAATGCTCGACACCGTTGTTATCAATGACTTCATAGAATGATGTTGGCTCTCCATTTTCGACCATCAAAGCATGCAAAGTATTTGGATTGACATAATCTTTGTGCCACCCGAGTGCACGAGTTTCTCTAGTAGAGCGCCGATGTGTCAAAGGTACTACATCATCATAATGGCCATGTGGTTTTTCATCTTGACTTCCTAGTTCTTCATGCTCTTCACTATGATCAATGGATATATTCTCATAAGGTATAGTTGTACTTGGTGAAAGTATTTCGTGGTTGCTTTCAAATTATTGACTCTCTTGTTGCACTTCTTGACCATTGCCTTTCATCATCATCCCTTTTGCTAATACCTTAGATTCATAAAAAAGCACATCACAGATAGTGATTATTTTTCAACTTATCATTCAAATATTTGAAATTTGAACCCTCAGTACTTCATAAGTCCTGTATCTTTTCCACATCTAATATTTGAAACACATCTCTAAATAATTCTGCATTCCTTTATCCTTCGGCCTTTTCACTCCCTTGAAAATTGCCGAAAAAGGGTCCTGAATAGGACACTGCAGATACACCATAAAAGGACTTTGATTAAGGTTGCAGAAAAGAAAGAGGCAAAATATGAACATGACATGATTCTAGCATACATTGCTCATGAAGAATATCATTTTCAAATAAAAATAATTTGAAAGTCAAGAAAACAACACAAATGTTGTGGTATATCAAAATGTAGCGAACGAAAATACTCTTCATAAGGAGGTATATGAAGTTGAACAGCTAACAAAGTAGCTACAAGAGTCTTGATAATATAGATACTTACAATGGAATCAAGGATAACTTGAGTGTCAAATATATCTAGGAAAAGCTGTTTTGAATAAAAAATATACAAATTTTGGAAATTATTGGCCACATAGATAATCACTGCATAGATTCTGGCCTCCATCCACCGATAAAGGAAATACATAAACTAATTATTGTAATGCTTGTCTACCAGAAATGAGGGCATCAAAATATTCAAGGAGCTCGAGTCATTTTGCTAACTGATAAAATGCATCTTTTTACATCCAAACTATGTTTGAGGGCTTTGCTTTGCTTCTTTTTTTTCCGTGATTATTTTCAGAAGTAAAATCAATATTTCTTTACAAAACCTAAGATATACTTCCGGAAATTAATATGATTTCAAAATCCTTTCCCATTTTGAAATTAATATTATTTCAAAATCCTTTCCCATTTTCATGAACAACAGACAAATGATAAAGTCAACTGTTGATATTATGCAAGTTCCACAAAGAAAGCAAAGACTTCGTTTTTTTGCTTATTTACTCTTTTGGATTACTTATAACAAGTGTAAAACCAGAACTCTTGTATAGTTAATTAACAAAGAACAGAGACAAAATTGTACAAAAAGAAACAAAAAGGGACTGCCGTCTAGACCAAGGTTACAAGATTTGTTGGGGATGCCCCCTCTTTGGTGAGGCTATCCCCGATAGCATTGGCTTCATTCCATGCATGTTGGGAAGACACCTCCAAAGATTCAGTGGGCTAAAAAATATTCAAATGCTAGTTCAGTCTCCACCCACAAATAAAAATCCTACTAGTCCAATTGATTCCCAGTTTTATGTTGTATATGATACATTTGAATATGTCAGTGAAGTGCATTCCCCCATGCTGGATGTAGTCCACCATGAGAGCCGTTTTCTAATCAATAACCAACCGAGAACCTAGGTTTTGGGCCGGGCTGAGGAGCCATACCTCGCTGGCAATGGCAGGCGAAGATCACTTGGCCAAAGCTGCTCATAGAAAGATGTTTTGCCAAAACGAACCCTGAGTTAGCTGGCTCCTATACCATCTTGTCCCTGCCATGGTGAGGACTGAGAACGGAAATTTGGATTTATTATCAAGTCTCGGATTTCATCATTGGACAGTCCTGTTCTAAACCTCGGATAAAAAAACATGCTTAAAGAGAACTTTGTTTGCATTAAAGACATGACAACCTTGGTCAGCTGCCACTGGGAAGATGATAGGGAATTGGGCTTCCAAACTGCTTTTTCACAATCATTGATGTCTCGACATTTGAATATTATCTCTAGTTTCTGCCATGCACCGAATATGAAATGGGCCAAATGTGCATAGATGATACTTTTTCAATCCCCCGGGCCCTTGCATTGGTTGAACCTCTAGAGAAAGCCTAAGCCATTGCAGCCATACCTTCACTGAATAACCAGCCTCCAAAGTTGGTCATCCTGCATTGCAAAGTGCCACCACCATTTTCCCTACAGGATCCTATACATCTGCTTAAGGCACCTAATGTGCAATCATCCATACCTAATGGATTAGCAAACGGTGTCCTACTTTACTAGATGAAACTTTTGTTTTCTTTGTGCCCCTGACCAAAGGAAGTTCTCATTAGGTGCTGAAGTCTCTTGACAATAGATATCCTCCTAATGGGAGACACATGGAAAACTGAGATCTTGAAGAGAATTTTATATTAAGCGCCCTCCATTTGTTTTATAGAAAGGAAAAGACACATGTATTTTAATTAATTTAAGGGCAAAAGGTTTTTTAAAATTTTTTATTAGATATTTCTAAAATCACCATTCAGAATTAGGATGTGTATGTGTATAAATATACACACAGGAATCGTCATTGCCCATTTGAGACTAAAGCAAAGCAATCAAACTCACCAGCCATCTTTATCTTGGAGCTAGATGAAAGACCAGGCTGGAATAAATGAGCAAAAATATACACCACTTCACGCACCCACACTGTGAGACCTTCATCCTCATCCTTCTCCAAAACCTCTTTTATTTAATCAGGGCAACATATACAACTAGCAAAAGAGGCTTCCTCAAAGCCATTGGCTTGCTTTGAGCTTTACAAAAAGCAATTGCTAATAATTGCTTAGTTCCTTCAGTTTCAAATGAGAACCTCGGCAAATGGAGCAAAACACGTGCATATGACCAAGCTCTCCATGTTGCAACATGGTATCCTTCCATGGCCTCGCTGATAAATGTATCGATGCCTTCGATTATTGAATGCTTGGAACTAGGAAGTGCAGGTGGGGCTGGCAACTCCCTTTATTCCACACCCTCTATGCAAATGAACAACTTCTTTTATGGCATCGAAGATGGACATGTCCTCCATGCATCATGATGGGGGTGAAGCATGTTCCTGATGTAGAAAATTCAAGATTAGTAATTTTGCAGGGGATACATGAAATAAAAAAGAGTCAAAACTTTGTAATATAATTATATAAACTGTTCACTCGTTAAAACATGGGAGTAACAAGTATTCAAAAATTGAAATTTACTATGCATATATTGGAGAAAAAGGAGAATGTATAATAAATGAGGTGCTTGAATTAGATCTATAGAGGGACAAAAAAAAAAGAGGAAATGGAGAGAAATGGTTACATGATTACTTATAATGGCACATGCCACCAAAGAATATCCCAATTTCACAAATCGAGCATTAACTAGTTATTTGGATATTTCTCCAGCTTAAAGGGATAAAAAATATCCAATAACAATATAAGATAGTACCTGTACAGCAAGCAACCAAGCTTCCTTGAGCAACATGCACACAATGGTTGAACAACAAGACCTCCACTCCTGGCTTAACATACTGTTCTTTTCATCCGGCATGGAATTGTCCCAAACATGAGCCCATACTACTACCGTATATCCCAGTTCTCTACCACTTGCAAAAAATTACATTGATTTAACAATAGAGGTAATTGAGAAACCATCTTGTTTTTTTCTGAGAAAAGGTTAATTGCATGAGAAACCATCTTGTTTAACAAAACAAACAACAAATATCTATAATGTAACCAGCAAAGGCAAACAAACAATATACAAAGTTGCATTTTCCATATTCAATGGCTATCTATACTTTTGAGGTCCCTATTCAAAATAATGACTAATCCCAACATTTCATACAACCAAATATTCCATTGGCAGGTTGCCATCCGATTATGGGCAGGAATCATATCCCAAGTCAACTAAATTATTAATGTCTTGTGATGCAATTCTTATCATCAATGAATCTCTCTCTGTCTCTCTCTCTCTCTCTTTCACACACAAACACACACACGAAGAGGGAGAAATATAAACATCTAACCAAATTTGACCAAATTCAAGGTGAAATGAAACCAAATAGATGGATCTAGTAGTAAAAAGTTCTGAATCTTCTGATGAATTCAAGGTGAAATTACATCAAAGGACATTATATATTAGTATATCTAGTTTTAGTTGTTCTAGAATTAAGAAATAGTAGTATTCAAGTAAACCTTCAAAAGCATGATACCATGCATGAATTTATCATAATGGAGCACCCCTCATTTGATTAGGAAATGTTTCTTGGATTTCATTACCAAATGAAGCATGGTGAGTCTGTGGGTGCAGATGTGATCGAATAATTATGTTTATTTGTTCATTTGCATGTGTGTGAAAGAAGGAATAAAAGAACTGGGATTTTTATTGACATGGCAGGCCAGTCTCACACCGTTTGATGTGTCCATAGACCACAATGCACTTCAAATGGAGGAAATCTATGATCCTAGCCAGGGTCACTGTAAGGACCCAGACTTTTCTGACATTTTGAAGCCGCTGCACGAGCATGAGGATGCCGTCGTACGTGCAAAGGATCAGCCGCTGTGAGTGTAATGATGCCGCTGTGCATGCAAAGGATCAGCCGCCGTGAGTGTAAGGATGCCGCCGTATGTGCAAAGGATCAGCCGTCGTGCGTGCAAATGATCAGCCGTCGTGCGTGCAAAGGATCAGCCGCCGTGAGTGTAAGAATGCCGCCGTGCGTGCAAAGGATCAGCCGTCGTGAGTGTAAGTATGCCGCCGTGCGTGTATGCCACCGTGCGTGCAAAGGACCAGCCGCCATGAGTGTGAGCAAGCTGTCATGCGCAACAGAGAGTTCATGCCGCCAAGCACAGAGATTTCATGATTATTTGTATGTTTCTAATGTGCCAAGTGCCATCTGCATGTCTCTTTGAGGACACTTGGCTCTTGCATGCTGCTACCTCTTTCTTTTACTGAGTATAAAACCCTTGTTCTTACCTCCCATAAGACTTTGCTCTCTCTCTCTCTCTCTCTCTCTCTCGCCCAGCTCCTTAGCCTTGAGAACTTGTGACCTCAAACCCACCATCCTTGGAGCTTGGCCTTGTGAAGGACATTGGGAGTTCCTTTAGTACTATAAGTGGATTCAAGATCCATGTTTTATGCTTTGTTTGAATGTATGTTCAATTTAATTGTTAAAGTATGAAATTGGGTAGAGATTTAAATGTATTTGGAGAACCATGCTTCTGAAATTGGGTTAATCTTGCACTCCGTTTTTTTAGAATTATGACTCTCTTTTGAGCAAATATTTGAGCATTGATAATACTTCTATTAACCATGAAATTTTGTGGGAAAGTACCCCTTTGAGTCTATTTTCAGAGGGAAAAGGCCTCATATCAATACCTTTTGTGATTGGAAAGTTATGCGCCTTTTGCTAGAACATGCCAAATCTGTGACATAAAATTCCAAGAGCTTTACATGTTTTTGTTATGACCTTTTTCTTGACCAAATCATGTCCAAATGAGCTCAAACCATTTTTGCATGAAAAATGAGTGAGTCTACTTCAAAAATGGTTTTGGAACCATGTTGAAATTCTCTAAGGTTTGGAAATTATGTTCCTTTTTCCATGAGTGTCACTGTTATGATTGTAGGGAATTTCCAAAGGTGTTACATGTTTTTATAATAAACTGTTTACTGACCAAATCATGTCCAAATGAGCTAAAACTAATTTTTCATGAAATATGAGTGAGTCTACTTCAAAAATGGTTTTGGAACCATGTCGAAATTCTCTAAGGTTTGGAAATTATGCTCTTTTTCCATGAAGGTGTCACTATTGTGATTGCAGGGAATTTGCAGAACTGTTACATGTTCTTGAAATGAATTGTTTACTGATCAAATAATGTTCAAATGAGCTCAAACTACTTTTACATGAAAATGAATGAGTCTATTAAAAAATGGTTTTGGAACCAAGTCGAAATTCTCTATGGTTTTGAAATTATGCTCCTTTTTCTATGAAGGTGTCACTATTGTGATTGCAGGGAATTTCCAAAACTGTTACATGTTTTTGTAATGAACTGTTTACTGACCAAATCATGTCCAATTGAACTCAAACCACTTTTGAATAAAAGATGAGTGAGTCTATTTGACCCTAGAATCATGAGGAAATTCTCTGTGGTCTTGAAACTATGCTAAAAAAGATGGGTTGTGCTCACTTCTTCTCAAACACGCGAAATGCTTCAAAAATGTTATAAATGAGCCTGATGACTTGTATTTGGCTCTGGACATGTATATGTATATTAAATGTATGCTTTGTTCTGATAAGACTCTGCTCTGATAAGAATATGTTCTGATAAGAATTTGCTCTTATAAGAACCTGTTTTAATAAGAATATGTTATGATAAGAATATGCTCTGATAACAATCTGTTCTGATAAGAATTTGTTCTGTTAAGGCTCTGCTCTGATAAGAATATGTTCTGATAAGAATATGCTCTGATAAGAATGTTGTGCCGGTAGTTGAGATATTTTTCCCTAACTCCCTTTGATATTATGGGAGTTAGGGTGATTGTATGTGTTGGGTTGGGTCGTGCGTCCCAAACTTCTGTTTGAGGCACTATCCATGGGGACCCCTTTAGCGAAGATGCATAGAGAGGGTCGTGTCTTGTAAAGCTTGTGCCTATCAAAAGCCCCAAAGCGCGTTGGGACTGTGTGCGTGTGAAGGCATTACGAAGTGGGTCCCCCACTTGTCATTGTCTTCCCTGCTGAGTCATGGTAGAAGTCCTAAGCATCAGGATTCGCTTGGCTTGATGGATAGAGTTTCTACTTTAGAGTAGGCGCATTAGGGAGTGAGTTAGTTAATGTTTGCTAATGTTGCTTATACTTATTAGGCTTATTGAGTTACAGTTTTGATGCTCGTGATAGAAGGGTTTGATAAATGGCTAATTCATATGATATCTGCATTGTAATTACTCATCCCTGAAAAGAATCATTCACGATACATTGCTCGACATAATTGTAACACATGACATCTAGATCTCCTTACTGGGCTTTGTAGCTCATTCCTTTAACTTCCATCCTTGTAGAGCGATAGTCGCAGGTCTAGGCCAAAGGATTCGAGGATCACGGCTGGTGGTAGGAGCTCGTGCTGCTTACAGAAAAGTGGTTCCATTGTATGTTTCTGATAGCTGATAGCCACAGATTTCGTTTAAAATTTAAAGTTATGTAATGATCAGGGCCTTTGATGCCCAGGAACCTTTTGTAATACTTTGAAAACTTATGTACAATGTATTTCACAATTTTGGGACTTGGTTATCTTGCTTTTGGTTTATGTGTGTGTGATGTAAAAGTTTTGTTTTCTTTCGTGGTTTGCTTTGTTTACCGTTTGTCTCAGGCGTTGAGCGCACTCCCACCTGAGTGGCATTCGCTTACCCTGGATCATGGTCCCACATTCTATTCCTCTATTGAAAATGAGGTCAATTCTATCTCCCTGACTAGAGGCAAAGTGGTCAATTCCTCAGGAAAAACTTCTAGGTACTCTCTTACCACAAGTATCTCTTTTAATTTAGACTGGACGTCCTAATTCTCTACTATATAAGCTATGTATCCAACACATCTTTTGGCTAGAAGACAGGAAGCCCGAAGGGCAGAAATAAAGTGTAGAGGGGGAGCGTCTCTGATACCCACAAAGTGCAGTTCAGGCTAGTTAGGGCATCTAAAGGTCACAGTCTTATCATAACAGTTAACAGTAGCACAGTGTGTGGACAATCAATCCATGCCCAGAATAACATCAAAATCCTAAATATCTAAAAGTATTAGGTTTATGGGCAAGTCACACTTCTCAAGTAAAACTTCACACTATTTGTGTACCCTATCAGTTTCCATAGAATCCCCCACAGGTGTGCACACTACTAAAGTATAGTCAAGACATGAAGGTTCAATATTTAGATGACATGCAAAATGAGTGCGTCAAAAGAGTGAGAGGAACCAGGGTTAATTAAGATTTTAGCTTCCTACCATAAACAAAGAGTGTACCTCTGATCACCGAGGTAGACACCTTGGCCTCCTGCTTCGTAAGTGCAAATACCCGACCTTGAGTCTTTGGTCGGTTCTCCGGCTTTACCATGGGGCAGTCCTTGATCTAGTGGTTAGGCTTTCCACACCTAAGACATGTTTTTTGTTTCTTAAAGCACTCTGCCGCAAAGTGGTTGCCCCCTCCACAATATGAGCGGGCCGGGCGTCGATTCTCCCTCACATCGCTCGAAAAGGTCTTTTGAGCTTTCATGTTCCCCTGACTAGGCCTTCCCCTGACATCTCTCCTCGGAAGCAGCCGACTCTTCCTCCCAAAATTCCTGGACGATGCGGACCTTACTCTCCCTTCTTTCCTCAACTGAAATTCCTCGCAATCTTCTTCAATCTTCATAGCGAGGTCTACTTAAGGTTGGCTGATATTGCTCTTCCTCTGATATCTGGCCGGAGGCCCCTTTCAAACTTGCTTGCCTTGTGCGCCTCTGTATTGATGATGTGAGGCGCGTATCGAGAGAGTTCTGCGAACTTGGTTGCATAGTGTTCTACTGTCAGCCTCCCTTATTGCAGCTCAATAAATTCAACTTCTTTCCTCTCCCAGACAGAATCGGGAAATGTTAATTTTCAAATGCCACTAGGAAATTCTCCCAGGTGGCCTCAGTCCCTGTTTCCATCCAGGGCTGTTTTACCGAACTCCACCAATGTTTGGCCTCCCCTTCCAACATAAAGGTTCCAATATGACCTTCTGCTCATTTGAGTAGTGCAAATGGCCTCTCTTCTCTCTCTATCTCTCTCTTTGTTATTTAGGAGTTTGGGTTGTCATTTGGATTAGAGAAACAATAAGAAGTCCTAATATTTAGTATTTTAGTGATATAGTAAAGAGCAAAGAGAGAAACCAATAAGCCAAAGTTGCTGCCTGTGTGTGCCTGGGGAAGGCCCAATTAAGAGAGAGAAAGTCAAAGTTCTAGCCTAAACAGAAAAATAAACCCTCATGCTCAAAGTGGCAGCAGGTGTGGGGAGTTTCCTCCTCTCTCAAATCCTCAAGATCACCAAATATGCCATAGCCGGCAAGCTAAGGATGCAATCGCATTATTAATGAATGACCACACAATCACACCTTCTCAATCGCATGCCATCACGCAATATCATATCATGGAATGCCATGTTATCAGCATACATACATCATGGCTATATCAGAGAGGCATTCTCTCTCTTCGACGCCATGCCCATCGGAGATGCATACTCATGGACCGTGATAATCAAAGACTTGGAAAAACACATATTACGATAATATAAAATCTGAATATATGAGAAGCAAGGCAATGTCTTTATTCAAAATTTTAATTATTATAATATATATATCCTGTTTTATCGACCAAACTCGAAATAATTATGAATATATCAAATTAACATGCAAACATACATGGAGGACGGCATGATTCCAACTCCTTGTGCCCGGGCCACAAACGGGCCTTTTGAGGACTTAATTTTATCCCATTATCTAAAGCATGGGTGATAATAGTAACTCAAGGAGATCAATCCAATGGGAAGCAAGTAATCACTTTTGTTTCACTTAATGGGGATCAAATCTAGAGAGAGACATATATCAAAATAGCCTTTGAAAGGTTGAGAGAGATACCACACAAAATAAGGAAGATATGGTGAAACTACACCTTGAGGGACCTCATGAACTTTTCATTATACAAAAAGAGGCTCAAAATATTATCTCATATGCTCAAATATAATAACATAAACCTTTGATCGAATGTATATTCTCGTTAAAAATTCAAGAAAATTTGGATCAAGAAACTCAAAGTGAAACTATTCAAAACTATGGAGTAAACAAGTTAATCTACACATGCTATGTGCGAGGACTACACTATTGCTTGGAGACTCTACAAAAACCAAGTATTCATAACGAAAAGATGCAAAGAGCTATTGTAAATTAAAAATTACAGCAACCTTTGATAATGGAAATGAGGTAGGAATTGAAATATAAGAAGAAAAATTAATACCTCAGTGAAGCAATAGTATGGGCTTGATCACACACGTGAGGGACTAGTCCATGGAAGCCACGCTTTTGTCAAGGGGTCTATGACTCTCTCTCTTTGAAGAGAATACTCAAGTTAGGGTTTTGAAATGATCCTAAAAGTTACTTTTATACTTAGATCATAAAGATGGATTTGATCTTGAGCCTTGATGCCTTGGATGAGCTTTTGACACCATTCACTCCTTAAAAGCTAAGTTTATAGCCATTTTACCTTAAAACCCTTAGCTCCATATTTTATTTCCTATTAAATCCAAATTCATGTTTACACTTATGCCCATGGTTTTTAAATAATTTGTGAGAGTCAATAAAAGATGAGGACATGAACATAAAGATAATATGAGACATCTACACATGTGAATAAAATATCTTATGACATCACTAATGGATTTCAACAACACTAAAGTTTCACATGGGTCAAGCCCATAAGGTGGTGTCACATACGGTATACCCACATGTCACAAAATCATATGTGGATAATAATATAACTTAAATTAATTCTCAAAATCCTATGACTTCACACATGCCAAAAAATGGCACATGTGAGCAAAAAAAGACGCGACTTAAATTAAACTTAAGCCATAACAATATATAACACTTTAAATAAATGGATAACATGTTATAACACAATACCACCAAAAGAAGTAATGACAAATAGGTCTCCATGAGGATATGACATCAGCATGGAATTAGAAACACTATGGAGAAATTTGTACAATTGACAAATCTCAATATTTGTTAGATTTCCAAAAAGAACCAAGATAGTCGTTTATAATTGTAGTTGCTTTTGCAGCTCTGAAAATATACACTTTGATATTTTATCTAGAATTAGTGGTTAATGAGAAAGATTAGTGAATAGCCTGTTGAAATAGATAAAAACATGGCCCACACATGAGAGTACCAACGAGAAAGACAACAATCCGAAAGGGAACTACCACTGCTATAATTACACCATTCGAACCTCAAAACAAAGATAAAAAATTTCCATAATAAGCCCACCTAAACCCTAAAAGAACCCATAAATGTGATACTCTTAAAATTTTCTATTGACGTAAAGCACAACAACAAAATATAACAAATGAAAAAACCCATTAACCAAGTCAGCCAACTCATGGATATTGTGATTTCATTTGCAGAGTGTCAATGTTGGCATGCATAATTCTTTTCAAGAGATTGCAATTACAATGAATGAATCAAAGATTGTGAGTTGACATAAGAATCGAACTGATTGCAACATCAAAGTCAACAGGATTTACAAGAGCAACCTGGGATTCCTATTGCAATCAGGATCGAGTTTCTCTCTCTAATTCATGGTGGATTAGGGTTTTTTGAACTGCAAAACCCTAATCCACCCTAAATCTAATTTTCTCCATTAATACACAACCATTAGACCTACCTGATTAGGATGGCCAAATGTCTGTGGTTGTGGAGCTTCATACTACAACTTTGTGGAGAGAGGGAGGTCTGGGCAGAAAGAGAGAGTGAGAGAGAAAAGTAGAAATGACAGGAAGAAAGGTCAAACAGGGTTTTGGGGCACTGTCCAGTACTACGAACATTGGACAACATAAGCTAGTTGTCTGGTAAAACAAACGCCAGACAGAGCCAGTGCTTTGTGGAAATACTGGGCCCTCCTGTTCGGCATTGTCTTTGCCAGATAAGAGCCCCCAAAGGGTGTCCATACATAAATCGCTAAAAAATTTAAATAATAAAAATTGTCAAAAATTAGTTGTAGGACTATTTTGATGATTTTCAGTATTTGAATTATTTTCATAGTGTTCTTAGGCTGCATCTTTCTAAGCACACACGCCCTCCAACGTTCAGGTGGATTTGATAAGTAAAAAAAAATTAAAAGTCTTGAAATTTGAAAATTTGGAGCAGGCACAATTATATTTAATGCCCACCACTAATTTTATAGAAAGGAAAAGACACAGGTATTTTAAAATTGTGGATAATACGTTTCTAAAGTTACCATTCAGGAACAGGATGTGCACGTGTGTGTGTATATATAATGATACATATAGGAATCTTCATAGCCCATTTGATACTAAAACAATGCAGCCAAACTCACATCTCAGAGTCAGATGAAAGACCAAGCTAGAATGAACGAGTAGAAATACACGCCAAACTACACACCCACACAGTGAAACCTTCATTGTCCACGCACCCACATGCCAATCAACTGGATTTCTCTCTTTCAGAGATTGACCAACTGCAAAGAGAGGCTTGACTTTACCTAATTGATGTATCATGTGTCGCGAAGCCGAGGAAACTAAGCCTCACCTCTTTATATATTGTCCCTTGGCCCATTCCTTGTGGGGAGCTTTTCTTCAGCTCTTCAAATGGCAATGGATGACCCCAAAAAATATTCCCAATCTCTTTTCCTCTCTCCACCTCTACCCCTGGGCCTCTTCAGGTATCATATTGTGGAAGGCTTCAATGGCAGCCCTCGTTCGATAAAACATAACAATCATATCTTCTGAGGACAGTTCTCTACCATTGAATCCTTGTTTGATATAATCAACGCAGCAGTTATCTTCAAGGCTACTAATCACAAGCGGTTCAAAGGCTTCCCTCCTTTAGCCTTCCACCTGCACAGGTATAATCTCCTTTTCTTACCACCACGTGAGTAACTCACGAGCCTCCTTGTGGCTTCCTCCAGAGTTGGACTGCGTAAAGCTCCACTTTGATGGTTGTTCCATAGGCAACCCAGGGCTATCAAGTATAGGTCTTTATAGAGACCACAAGGGGTCCACTTTGATCTCTTTCACGAAGTCCATAGGTCAAATTTCCAATCAGCAGAAGCTAGATCATTTCTTGCGGGCCTCAAACTATTTGACAACTCTTGGGGCCAAGCTCTCACCATAGCAGGGGACTCCTACAACGTTATTTCCTGGGCCACTGGTTCAACTAACTGCCAATGGTGATCCAAGCAAGCAGTACCTCACTCCATGACCAGGCTTGAAAGTTCTCAAGCAACCATGCAGTCAACTCCACTATCACTAACTACCCTCCTCTTTACTCTTAACCACAGCCCCTTCGTCCAATTTCCTAAATCAAAAGATATTTTGTTCCCCTCATAAATTAGAGTTCGAGATAGAAATATGCTTAACATGCTATAAGACAATATTCTGGAATTTGCATTACCAGGGTTTAATTAACTTGGAATCAATCTGGGCTTGTATGTCACAAACCATATTGAGATTGCCCATTAGAAACATTGAGTCACATCATAGAACATAAAACTGGAATGATTTGATAGTAGCTTGAAAAATAGTGAGGCTGTTTAGGGTCTTCCACTGCATAGTTGCACCTCTCCCAAAAGGTTTGCTAGTTTGAAGAGCGGACCTCAATTCAGGTACAAGTTCGGTAAAATAGAGCTCCAAACAAAAGTGAATTTTACAAATAATGCACGAGATAACTAAATTTGAAGAAACTACAATCCCTACAAAAGGGCATCTTAGACAAAAAAGAGACGATATCTTATCCTGTTCAACCTGCATGAATGCTGGAACAATTTGGACCTAATTACTGTGTTCCTTTGTTTTGGGGAGCTAGCAGAATTTCCATGTCATGTGAGTTTTATTTGATGCAAGTACAAAGGCTGCTATGTGCTAACAATGATTTAGAAGGTGATTCAAGAGAAGATTCATCTTAAACTGAGATTAAGTATACATAAAACAACAATTCACATGAAGTGACATGTTAATTTTTATTAGTGAAGTGACGGACCCCATTCCCATATGCATTTGGTTGAATGTTGAAACATGGTTCAACAGATATTCTTATGTGATGAATCACACAAATGAGACATGAGATGGAAGACAAATTCAAAAGCTATAAAAAGAAATATAAATAATAACAATTGTAAAATCTCCCCAACCACAACCTAGCCTTTCCTCCCACCTAACCTATAGCATTCCTCAACCTTACCATCCACAACCTAGCCTTTTGGCTCACTACCCTTGAAGCCTCACTATCCCTTCCTCTTTCAGCAACTTCCACCACCAAAAAGAAAAAAGCATCTTTCCATTCCCACAGATCTTTCGTCCACCTATTTCAAACCTCCCAGAATGAATGTCAAATCATGGTGATCCAAGAAAGCATTACCTCACTCCATGACCAGGCTCGAAAATTCTCAAGCAACCATGCAGTCAACAAACTATCACTACCTACCCTCCTCTTTACACTAGACCACATCCCTTTCATCCCATTTACTAAACCAGAAGACATTATGTTCCCCCCGTAAATTAGAGTTCGAGATAGAAATATGATTAACATGCTATAAGACAATATTATGGAATTTGCATTACCAGGGTTTAATTAACTTGAAATCAATCTGGTCATGTATGTCACAATCCGTATTGAGATTGCCCATTAGAAACACTGAGTCACATCATAGAACATAAAACTGGAATGGTTTGATAGTAGCTTGAAGAATAGTGACGTTGTTTAGGGTCTTCCACTGCATAGTTGCACCTCTCCCAAAACATTTGCTAGTTTGAAGAGCAAACCTCAATTCAGGTACAAGTTCGGTAAAATTGAGCTCCAAACAAAAATGAATTTTACAAATAATGCACGAGATAACTAAATTTGAAGAACCTACAATCCCTACAAAAGGACATCTTAGACAAAAATGAGACACAATATATTGTCCAGTTCAATCTGCATGAATGCTGGAACAACTCGGACCTAATTACTGTGCTCCTTTGTTTTGGGAGCTAGCAGAATTGTCATGTCATGTGAGTATTATTTGATGCAAGTACAAAGGAAAGGCTGTAAGTGCTAACAATGATTTGGAAGGTGACTCAAGAGAAGATTCATCTTAAATTGAGATTAAGTTTACGTAAACCAACAATTCTCATGAAGTGACATGTTCAATCTTATTAGTGAAGTGAGGGAACCAATTCCCATATGCATTTGGTTGAATGTTGAAACCAGCCCCAACAAATATTCCTATGTGATGAAGCACACGGATGAGACATAAGATGGAAGACAAATTCAAAAGCAATAAAAATAAATGTAAATTATAAAAATTGCCAAAATCTCCCCAACCACAACCTAGCCTTTCCTTCTACTCAACCTGCAGCTTTCCCCAACCTTACCATCCACAACCTAGCCTTTTGGTTCACTACCCTTGCAACCTTATTGTCCCTTCCGCTTCCACCAACTTCCACCACCAAAAAGAAAAAAGCATCTTTCCATTCCCACAAATCATCCGTCCACCTATTTCAGACTTCCCCGAATGAATGTCAAATCATGGTGATCCAAACAAGCAGTACTATACTCTCTAACCAGGCTTGAAAGTTCTCAAGCAACCAAGCAGTCAACTCAACTATAACTACCTACCCTCCTCTTTACACTTGAACAAAGCCCCTTCATCCCATTTCCTAAATCTAAAGGCATTATGTTCCCCATGTAAATTAGAGTTCGAGATAGAAATATGATTAAATTGCTGTAAGACAATATTATGGAATTTGCATTACCAGGATTTAATTAACTTGAAATCAATCTGGTCATGCATGTCACAATCTGTATTGAGATTGCCCATTAGAAACATTGAGTCACATTATAGAACATAAAACTGGAATGGTTTGATAGTAGCTTGAAGAATAGTGAGGCTGTTAGGGTCTTCCACTGCATAGTTGCACCTCTCCCAAAAAGTTTGCTAGTTTGAAGAGCAGACCTCAATACAGGTACAAGTTCAAGAGCTCTAAACATAAATGAATTTCACAAATAATGCACGAGATAACTAAAATTGAAGAAACTACAATCCCTACAAAAGGGCATCTTAGACAAAAATGAGACAATATCTTGCTCAGTTCATTCTGCATGAATTCTAGAACAATGTGAAACTAATTACTGTGTTCCTTTGTTTTGCGGAGCTAGTAGAATTTTCATGTCATGTAAGTTTTATTTGATGCAAGTACAAAGGCTGCTAAGTGCTAACAATGATTTGGAAGGTGACTCAAGAAAAGATTCATCTTAAACTGTTAGGGTCTTCCACTGCATAGTTGCACCTCTCCCAAAACGTTTGCTAGTTTGAAGAGCAGACCTCAATACAGGTACAAGTTCAAGAGCTCTAAACATTGAT